GTATAATATATTTATGTACATGAATATATACTCTGCATATGTATGCCATATACACATTGAGTGTCCTTACTGCACCTACCTGAAAGTCTTTTACGTCCTTCGGGAGATCGGCTTCAGAAATGGCCTCACTACCCATATAATCTACTACGGCAGTCCTGTCAGCCCTGCCCCATAATAATCGCAAGAAAATAGACATTCGTTAGTATAGTCCTATAACCTGTAAGATAGACTGAAACGCGACCGTTGTTCGGAATAGCCGGAGGAAAACTACTCCCGTGCTTGTTAGCGCTGTGCTTGGGCGACAACATCATTGGACAAATAGGATGGACAGCAAGTTTTGTAAGGCTATACTACCTACACATTTCATATACGTCCTTTCGAATACCTTTGTGTGATGAAGATGGTAGTCGACTCGAAACTATTGCGCAACCATGTTCTATGTTAGTATCGTGAGTACTGTACGGTCTATTTGTTGTGGCTTAAATCACTTGTTTGCTTGAATAGAGCGGTGCACAGATGAATACATGTTCTTGCGAGAAACCTACTTACAAAATGAGTCAAACGTACCATCTCGGATTATGTATCCTGGTGGTAGCCGGTTAGCGATACGGTTTCACTATCAATATGTGAGCATAAACCCAACCCAATATGAACAGTGAAGATATTTAAACTTCAAGGTAACCTGCGATCATATCACCACATCTAACACTGAAATTCGACGGGTCTTGATGCTCTATTACTAAAGCTATTACCAACATTGATACATCCGCTTCGATATTGTTACGCATCTCATGTATGCTCCTCTCTCCTAACCACACTACACCGACTTTACACCCACCTCAGTTCCCAAATAAGATCCCATATCCTCTGCCAATCGGCCGGGGGCTTGACCACTTTCTTAACCACGAGCGCTGACGACTCTGGTACGTCTTTTATCGCTATAGCGGGCGTTTTAGCATCAATTTTTAGCTTCTTTACAGGCAAACTCTTCGCTACATTAGTTTTCCAAACCGCTTTGAGCTCGGATATGGGTGATAATTTAGGTGCAACTTTGGGTTTCTCTGTAATTGTCTCCACCTTAGTGACGGTCGTGACTGCTCCGGATTTCCTCGTCGAACTCTGTATAAGATGCAAGATTCCAATCATCTTCAATTTATGCACCATAATTGATGATTTGAATAATCTGTAAGGGGGAGGACTTTGAATTCTGGTACTAAGAGATCAACTAATGGTAAAGTTTGAATGTGTTACAGCTACTGATTTGAAACATATATAGTGATGAAACGAACTTGCCTATATAAGAATAGTCAACAAAAGCATAGTCCAAATTTACATTTTAATATATAACAATAGTATGAATGCACGGTTACATAACCTGTAAATACAAACACTTTGATACATAATACTAAATACTATGTACTAAATACTATTTGCTACATATTATATACTATATACTATATATAAACATTATATATGTATATATATACATACAT